TGTTCAAAATATAAATTCTTTGGTTAATCTCTCCCTCCCACCCCCCTCCTTCCCTCTAAAATTCGTCAGTCTGATCCATGCCTCCATGTCACTGAATCTATTTTGTTCATCAGTTTATTAAGTTCTTTAGATTCCACATATGAGTGAGATCATGTGATGTTTGTCTTTCTCTGCGTGGCTTATTTCGCTTAGCATAATACTCTCCAGTTCCATCCATGCTGTCCCAAAGGTAGGAGGCCCTTCTTCTTTACAGCTGTGTGTATTCCATGGTGTAAATGTCCCACAGCTCTTTTATCCACTCATCTGCTGATGGGCACTTGGACTATTTCCAGATCTTAGCTATTGTAAATTGTGCCTGCTATGAATATAAGGGTGCATATATTCTTTCTGATTAGTGTTTCAGGATTCTTAAGGTATATTCCTAGAAGTGGGATCACTATTAAAAATGGAACTGCCTTTTGATCCAATACATTTTTAGAATAAATGATGCTGAATTTGTTATGTGTCCACAAGTATATAAACTAATGTTGCAAGAAGAATACCGCCTACTTTTTATGTTGTTCTAACTGATTGCTCTTAAGTAGGAGATCCTTTTCAGTGGCCTCTCTTGGCATTTCAAGCTAAATATTACATCAGTTTTATTTCCTCATATTTTCTCCATTATCCAATATTTGCAGCTATCTCAACCTTTACAAATAAGTGATATCTTATTACCAACTCAACTCAGCTTTTTTGGAAAACTTAGCATTTTTGTACCTTATTCACTGTTTTGCTTTGTATTAAAATCCTCCTTTTATTTAAATTTCATTATTGAAGTAAAATTTAAACTTTATTTAAAGCAATAAGTATTGCTTTCCAGTATTTCACTCCAAATATGTCTCACTTGAAATCCCCTATTTTCTCTAAAACTAATACTCCCAAAAAATAAAAAATGGCAAACTGGCTAGAAGGTCCTCGGAGTTTGACTTCCCACGGTCTCCGTGTGGAGGTATCTGTCCACCGCTGAGACTGAGTGGGGCAACTTCCCTTCAAGACGTTCTTAACTTTGAAATTTCACTTCTGCTGTTTCTCTTGTATCCTCCACTTCTTTCATTCCCTTTCCCCTTCGTTTTGAAGTTAAAACCATTCCTATCTTCTTTTGAATCATTTGCCCTTTTTCATTTGCAATGAATTGGTAGGTACTCATTTATAATTATTTAAACTTGATCTTTAAATTATCACTGGAGAATGAATGAATGAACATATCCATTCTGAGCCAGTTTACAGACATTTTCTTGAATAACCTTGCACTTACTACATAAATGAGGAAACTGAGGCTGCGATAGGTGTTTCAATGGTTCTTAACCTTGAATTTATATTACAATCATCTGGGTATTTTCAAATTATAGCTGCCTGTGCCCCACACTCAGAGATGCCAATTTATTTGGTGTCACGTGGAGTCCCTGCACTGATTGTTTTTATGCAGATCTTTATGTGATTTCCAAGTAGGTGAAAGCCACTGAGTTAGATAAATTGCCCAAGATCATGGAGAGTAAATTTGAGCATTTTGAGGGCAGAGAATGAATCTAATTTATTTTGAAGCACCAGAGGGAATAAATGAAAGTACTAGTCAGATTTCTAATTCACATTAGGCTGGCTCTAGAGCTTATGATATTTTTCAACGCCACCGTATTATCTTAAACGTCATACCCAGTCCAGCTTCTTAACTTCCAGGAAGAAATTGAGAGCTAAGTTTTAAAATCTCATGTGCTACAAAGAAATCTTTCAGGTTAAAGTTAAGTAATAAAGGTTAATAATACAGACCTATAATTTCTATATGAAGAATACATTTTATGTAATATTTAAGTATCATTTCAGGCAATTTTTAGAGCAGTGAGATTTTTTTGCTTAACTAAAATATATTCTTACAACCATTAGAGAAATGGTTTCTTGTTCACATCCTTAAATATCTGTTGAGTGTTTAGTATGTGCTAGGCATGGTGCTCGTTACTGTGGATACAACTCTGAAAAACAGGGACAAGATCTTGGCTTTCATGGATCATTTATTTCAGATTTGAATTTGTTCAGACCTGGAAACTAAGTTTTAGTACGTTTTTCATGGGAGGAAAAATTTAGATGACATTATCAGGGTAGGATAATCTGGGCAAATATACTCTCCAAATAGGATAATCTCTGAATGAGGGGCTTTTTGAAACAGTTGTTTCATTTATTCATCCAACAAACTGCTTTGTGGGGCAGGTACAATTAACTTTGTGATAGAGGTACAACTTAAAAACAGACACAAAACTCTTTACAGAGTCATAATGGAGAGAAACATCTCTACAGTAAGAGAGAAAGTGATGAGTGCTGTGAGAGAGAGACAAGTAAATATGATGTGAAAAAATAAAAACTGTAGGTAATATAATCAGAGCTATCATAATGGTCCCAATTCAGATTATTCTGTCGTAAGAAGCCCAGTAAAATAAACAAGCACTTATGTGCTCTGTAGATTTATTATTCGCTTAAAGACTTTATTTTAAATTCTCATGTATTTCACAGTAATTAATCCACTTCAAAAACTAGTAGTAGTATAGTCATGGCTTCCAATAATTTTATGTACATTTGAAATGTGTGTTTTTTTTAAAAAACACACAGTTCAAACGTGTTTTAACACTTTGTGATTAATTAACATCAGAGAGCAAATACCCAAGCATGAATTTTGTATTTTTAAGACACACAGGAACTTAAAATGAAAATTGATGCCAGGAAATTAAAACCTCGACATCATTGCATATCTTAATTACCTCACATAGATCTCTAACAAGGCGTAGATCCTTGAATTGTGTGCTGTTAAACAAAAGCTCACAGTTAGTTTAACCTCCTAATAGTTCCGTATTCAGAATGAAATCTGCCAATAAAAACATATTGAAAATATTAAACATGCAGTATTAGATAAGATTGCCCCCAGAAAAAAAAGACAAAAGAAAATAAATCCTCCAAATATTAAATTTTTTAAAACAGTGTTGGGGCTCCCCTTGCTGGCTAGTTTGTGTATTACTCAATTCTAGATTTTGTGTTACTCAAGTCAAGTCTACAATTCCTTGACTTTTTTGTTAAATTTGGTTTACTTCTTTTCTTTGGGGGTGTGGATTGTTTCTAGATTTTACATTTTAATATATTTCCCTCTGGTTGCTGTGTTTAAATGGGCAATTTTTTTGTTGGGCTCAATATGGTGTACGGGCAAGTTTAATGCATTTACCATTTTTCTTCTGTGCTTCTCATGTCTTCACGTTCCTTCATTTCCCTTTGCTCTGTGAACTTTTCATTTCTCCCTGCTGGGTTACTCTGCCCTTCTTCCTTTTCTGGTCCTGCCTTTGTTTGTGAAATAATTGGTCTCACTTCCTGTGGGGTTTGGTTTTCTGGGCCTTGGTAACAGCCTTTTGGTGACACACCTTTGGATCTTTTTGCCTGTGACTTCCCTGGGTGGCTTGAGGCAGAGAACTGGGCCCCACACTGACTGCTCTGAGGTTCCACAAGGCATCATGTACATTAGGTCATCCTTTCTTCATTAACTCTTAAGTGAAGGGTTTATCAAGATGTGTCAAGCTTTCAGTCTTTCATAGAGCACCAAAATGCTGATTCAGATATTCTAGAACTGATTTATAAAGAGATACTGAGACATGAGAAGTGCAATGCAAGTCATTTATTAAGGTGGTTTGGTCCAAAGAAACAAATTGAGATTAAAATGGCACTGTTGGGTGAGCATGGAATAATTGATTTTATGGAATGAACTTAAGTTTTGTTTTTGTTTTTTATTGGAAGTGTATTTGTAAATAATATTTAACCTAAAAAAATAAATTGAAATAGCTCTTAAAGTTGCCCACAGGAAATGTTTGTCAAAATAGAATAATAGTGGCATAACCTTCTTATTCTATAATATTTATATTATGATGGATGAGATTACTAGAATTGCATCATGCCAGTGCAGCCTTCTACCTCGTATTGATTTTTAAAGTGGGAGCTCTCTGCCCAAAATTTCCTGAAGGGCTCCCCTATCCTTCTCCCCAAACACACATACATAGTCTAACGGGAGGCAAGTATGGCTCTTACCAGCTCTTTGCTACCTCTGTTTGCGTGGAAAGGTGACAGACTTAATAGGATAAAAATCTCAAGGGAGAAAAAAAATCAAGTTTAAATCTGCCCTGGGCTTTGTATCATAATAAAAATTGATTAAAAAAAACCAAACCCTTGCTATATGTAGAATATTTGTACCCTCTTTATTAGTCTTTCAAAGATGTTATCCTTCTGAGGTTTAGAGCATACCTTTTTTCTGCAGGCAGAGGCTTAACTCCTTTCAGAGGGAGCACTGCTGTTAGTTGCTATTCTTGTAGGTTGTAATTTTAAGGAGCTGAAGCCAAGGGTGATCTCTTAAATTTCCTCTAATCTTACTGACTTTTCTCAAAGGAGTCTATGGTCATCTCTAAAGAGCTAACTTTTTGGATATGCTGTCAGTGACGTGATAGAAGGTAGAACTTTTCCACTCCACACTCAAATATGTAATCCTGTGTATCATCACTTAATTCTTAACCTAAGCTTATGAAAAATTTTAGCCAACAAAACATTAATCTGTGCTTATTTTAAATATGTAAAGCAACTCTAGAGACTTCTTATTTGAAACAGATTCTCTGAGTTGAATGAGTAGACTGTGATACCTCAAGTGTAAATGAAAGCATTGGAAAAATGAGAGAGTAAGGAAATCTTCCAGAGAGGTGGCCTGGACCGGTTCTAAGGATGACCCAAACTCTTCCCTGGTTAGTCCACACAACCTAGTGTAATTGTAAAATATAATCTTCTTTAGAATATATGAATCATGCTTTCATGTGACATCATGTTTTTTCTGTGAGTGGTAAATGAATTATTTGGGATAAATAAACCAACCATTTGCTTAATTTAAATATGAATAGTGTTATGGCAGCCTACACTAGATACTCCGTAAAGGCTTTTTTCTTTTTTTATTATAGTGTTTCTAAGACCTCAGAGAAATTTGGAATCTATAGACCCACAGTTTACAATTCGGAGGAAAATGGAACAAATGAGAGAAGAAAAAGAACTGGTGGAACAACTCCGTGAGGTACCCAAGAAATATTATATAGTTGAATAATAATTTTCAGAATTGAAGCAGCGTTCCATAAAGTTGACTCTTGAACAACATGGTGGTTAGGGGCACCATCACCCCTCCCCCAACCACCCTCAAAGCAGTTGGAGATCTGAGTATAACCTTTGACTCTCCAAAAACTTAACTACTAATAGCTTGTTGACCTGAAGCATTACTAATAACATCAACAGTTGCTTAACACATATTTAGTATGTTTTATGTATTATGTACTGTATTGTTGTAGCAAAGTAAGCTAGAGAAAAGAAAATGTTTTTAAGAAAATCATAGGAAAAGAAAATACATTTACAGTACTGTACATATTTCTTAGAAAAAAATCCACATATGAGTTTTGGTCACGGGTCAGCTGTATTTTAAAAAAATAGACTTTGAAGACTGCAAACATACCCAGTTTCAAATCTAGCCAGGTAGCCTACTGACTGTTTGATATTGAGCAAGTCACTTAACATCCCTGAATGTCAGTTTTTTCATGTATTAAAAAAATAGTTTCAATGTACCTGAACGTGGCTTTATGAGTAATATATGAGATAATATAAGTAGAACTACTTAATGCATATGTATAAAGCTAGTATTATTTCAATTCAGGTACACTTTCAAATAAATGCACTGTTACTCATTTACTTAATAATAATATTCCATTAATTTAAAGATTTTTTTAGTTATCCTCACTTTGTATCACAACGGGTCAGAACATTTTAATCAGTCATTTAATGGGCAAACTATTTGAGTTCCTACCAAGCGTGAAGTCTTGTGCTGGGTGACATTGAAGATTTTTAGCTCTGTGATGACAGGGACCATGGTTAACATATGACCACTTTTTTGCCTAAGAAAACGAAGTGAGGTTGGGGAAGGACAGTTTGTCTTCTCTTTTAAATCTGCCTCTAGCTGCCTTAGGTTGGGCAGTAGATTTTGTCCTATAACCCAATATGAAACTTCCAGTATTTTTTACAAATGGGATCAAAACTACTATAATGTTGTTGGAACTGTGTACCAAATTCTCATTTAATATTTTTTCCCAAATTACAAAAGAAAACCTGTGACTTGGTCTCCAATTTGAGTATACAATTATCGTTCTATAAAGACACTATCAGTCATGTATCTATTCATATTTACATATTTTATTCTTCAGGGAAAATGCTACATTCTTTTAGAAATTTTTTGGTTATCACCTTTTTTCTTTTTTAAGTAAATTTTAATTGAAAATATAATAGGAAATAATGCTGATAGGAGAAAATAGAAAAATGAAGAAGAAAAATAAATCATTTTCTTCCCCACTGCTCAAAGACAAGCACTGTTTTTTTAATCCTCACCTGAGGATATTTTTTCCATTGCTTTCCAGAATGGAAGGGGGAGAGAGAGAAACATCAACGTGAGGGAGACACATCGACTGGTTGCCTCCCGCACGCACCCTGACTGGGGCGGAGGATCAAGCCTTGGCTGGAATTGAACCCGGGACCCTTCAGTCTGCGGGCTGACGCTGTAACCACTGAGCCAAACTGGCTAGGGCAGACAAGCACTGTTAACATTTTGGCTTCTACTGGCATTCTTTCTACATTTGTTTTCGAATTGTGAGCATTTCATATACAGTCGTGTGCCGCTTAACAATGGGGATATGTTCTGAGAAATGTGTCATCAGGCAACGTCATTGTTCTGTGAACATCATGGAGAGCAGTTACACGGGCCTAGATGGCATACCCTCCCGCACACCGCGGCCGCACCGTTACCGTCGCCGTATATGTGGTCTGTTGTTGACCAAAATGTCCTGATTCCCCCACAGAGCATCGAGATGAGATTAAAGGTGAGCCTGCATGAAGACCTGGGGGCTGCACTCATGGATGGTGTTGTCCTCTGCCATCTGGTCAATCACATCCGCCCACGATCTGTCGCAAGCATTCACGTCCCCTCACCGGCAGTTGTAAGTAACACCACATAAAGGGAAACTAAGTTTTACATAGAACAATCTCTCTTGGGACAGTGTTGCTGGCTAAAGATGCCAATGGGATCACCAGGACCCTGCTCAGATCCTCTCTGTTGGGCCCCAGACCACTAGAAGAACAGAAAGGAATAGGTCTGAAGGAAGCAACATTTTCACTGTAAAAAGGGAGAATATTTAAAATAAATGTCAATGACAGAAAAGGAATTTATTTCAAATATAGAGCAAATAACATTTAAGAAATCATTGGTTGGGGTGCTAACTTTAAGACTTTAGGGACATAAAGATTCATTTCTCACCAAGGGTTATTTAAACAGTGAGAAGTCTTCGGGAAAGCTGTTTTTTGGTTGGTAGCTTCTCTTTTATTAACCATTGGGGATTTTAGGATAGCTCTGAAAAAATGTTGGTTCTCTGTAAAAGATCATTAGTGACCTGTCAAGCCAGGGGTTGATCAGGCAATTGTTAATTCAGCAATTCCTTCATCATTCACTGTGCTCAAAGGTACATTGGAGGTACTGGGGGAAAATGGGAAATGTGGAGATGAGTGAGACTCCATTAATGCCCTGAAAGTCCTTGTCCCCTCTTTCGGGGAGATAAAGCCAGCATGTGGATCCTCTCAGAGCATGTGGCCATCCAGAAGAAAACTATGGAGTCTTTTTTACGGTCAGTCAGTGAGGGTGGAGAATCAAGGGTCAGCTTGTCTTTGAAGCCTATGTCAGGTTCAGACAAGTAGAGAGGAAAGAAGAATTTCTATCACACTGTTTGCTGTTCTTTAGATGAGGCAGGAAAAAGAGCAGGGGCTAAGAGTGTAGGGTTTGGATTCAAATTCCAGATCTGCTCATAAGCCGTATGTCTTTGGGAAAGTTATTTAATCTCTCTTTAACTCAGTTTGCTTTTCCCTATCACAGAAATATTATTGTGAGGATGAAATAGGGTACTACATACGATACACACATAAATGTAAGCCATTCTTTTTTAAAAAAATATATCTTTATTGATTTCAGAGAGAGGAAAGGAGAGGGAGAGAGAGAGAGATAGAAACATCAATGATGAGAGAGTCATTGATTGAGCCCACAACCCGGGCATGTGCCCTGACTGGGAATCGAACCCCGATCGCCTGGATCCTAGGTCAGTGCTCAACTGCTGAGCCATGCCCGGCAGGGCAATGTAAGCCATTCTTATCATTAGTGTTTATAGAGCAGATTTTCAAAATTCAGAGTCCCTAATCTCAAGGCATAATGTTCATTAAATGACCGTTTGAAGAGTGTGCTGGGTGAAAGCCCCTGTGAGGGGTCTGTGCCCTCCCTCAGCCCCCAGGAATGCCTCCCATTGTCATTATTTGTCTTAATTTCTTCTCTCTGTTCTCTTAGCTGATAATACCATTTCGACTGTCAATTTCTTTTTTTATACTATTGAACATGTTTTTCCTTTGAAAAGTTTGATCACTTTTTGCTTCAGAAAACATAGAAGAAAAAATATCAATTTATCTTCTCTTTCAAATCTGCCTCTAACTGCCTTAGTTAGGCAGTAAATTTTGTCCTATAATCCAATATGAAACTTTCTAGTATTTTTTACAAATGGAATCCAAACTGTTCTAATGTTATTTGAGCTATGTGCCAAATTCTTATTTAATAATTTTCCCCAAATTACAAGTAAGAAACTGACTTCTCAGCTTCCAATTTAAATGTACAATTATCATTTTGTAAGGTATAAGAGGACACTATGAATCATGTATCTGTATACATTTGTATATTTTATTCTTCAGGAAAAAAAGCTACATTTTGTTAGAAATCCTTTGGCTTTTCACCTTTTTTCTTTAAAAAAAAAAATCTTTATTGATTTTGGAGAGAGGGAGGAAGAGGAGTAGAGAGAGGTAGAAACATCAATGATGAGAGTCACTGATCGGCTGCCTCCTGCATGCCCCCCGACTGGGGATCGAGCCCGCATCTGGGGCATGTGCTCTCACCGGGAATCAAACCACGATCTCCTGGATCCTAGGTTGATGTTCAACCACTGAGCCGTGCTCTGTCGGGCACCTTTTTTTCTTCTTTAAATAAATTTTCAAATGAAAACATAATGAGAAATAATTCCTAATTGGCAAAAAGGAGAAAATAGAGAAATGCAAAGAAAAAGAAATCATCCTTTATTTCACTGCCCAAAGACAATCACTGTTAACATCTTGGCTACTATACTATTAGCATTCTTTCTGTATTTAAGTTGTTTTTGAATTGTGAGCATCTGATATATATTAATCAGTAGTTTTTAAAATTTATTATTAAAACCTAAATATTTCCCCATGTCACTAAAATTTTTCATAAGCATCCATTTTAATAATTGTAGCATATGTTAGCATGTTATTATACTTTTATTTTCCTTTTTAGAAATGCAGGCTGTTGCTAAATGTCCACTTCTTGAAAATCCTTGAGAGAGCAACTTAAAGCTGCTTTGACAAGGCCCAGCCACTGTGTTGCCCTGGCATGCTGTCCCACTCTTCCACTGTTTGCACAGGCTGCTCCCTAAACCAGAAGGCTGCCCCCCACCCTGGGTCCAGATCCTTCACCTGCAGCATGGCTAGCTCTCATTTCTTCTCAACTGCAGTATTTATAGGAGGCAGGCCATTCCTGACTCCTTAGCACTGAGATAGATTCTTTTTGTTTTTCCTCCTTATAACAACCTCCCCACAACTAAGATCTTTACCATACTATACTGCTGTTTTCTTGAACTTGTTAATATTTTGAACTAGACCAGAACTAAGGTACCATGATTGCGTCTTTCAGTTTCACAGGTGCATCCTTAGCACCAGATAAAGAATCTGAGACATAGTAAACACTTGATCAGTCATGGATGGGAGCATCTTTTCCACTCATGTGATTGCCAGCTTTAAGCATGCTAGTTTTTCATTCATGAAACCAGTACTGTCCATTTTTTATGCAAAACTGAGGGAATATAGTGGTAAACAGAATTACTATTATTGTCAATATGTTAAGAGTCTCTTAAAATGGATTTTCTGAATTTTTTACAATTTGGTAAGCTAACTACTGGCATCCCAGTTGGTATAATTCATGCAATTTTTGATTCTTTGAACTATTATATTTGTAGTGAGTATTTTCTAACTGAAACTAGGCCGCAATCTTAGAATGGGCCCTCCCTCACTTCCAAAGGTGGGAAATTTTCTTTATGTAGCTTGAAGCACACTTTCATTGACTTTACTGGGCAGACCTAAGGTTTTTTGGGGGGTTTTATTGTGTGTTTTTTTTATGGTATGATATGTGAATTACATCTCAATAAAACTGTTTTTTTGTTTTGTTCTCTTTTTTTTTAATTTTATTATTGTTTAAAATATTACAGATGTCCCTTTTTCTCCCCAATGACCTCTTCCACCCTGTTCCTTCCCCCTCCCCAGACCCTCTCCCCACCATTGTCCATGTCCTTGGGTTGTGTATATATGCATATAAATTCTTTGGTTACTCTCTCCCCGACCATTCACCCGCCCTCCTCCACCCCTCTGACATTCATCAGTCTCATCTATGCTTCCATGTCATTGAATCTATTCTGTTCATCAGTTTATTAAGTTCTTTAGATTCCACATATAAGCAAGATCATGTGATATTTGTCTTTCGCTGCCTGGCTTATTTCACTTAGCATAATATTCTCCAGGTCCATCCATACTGTCCCAAAAGGTACGAGATTCTTCTTCTTTACAACTGCGTAGTATTCCATGGTGTAAATGTCCCACAGCTTTTTTATCCACTCATCTACTGATGGGCACTTGGGCTGTTTCCAGATCTTAGCTATTGTAAACTGTGCTGCTATGAACATCGGGGTACATATATCCTTTCTGATGAATGTTTCAGGATTCTTAGGATACATTCCTAGGAGTGGAATCACTGGGTCAAAAGGCAGCTCCATTTTTAATTTTTTGAGGAACCTCCATACTGTTTTCCATAGTGGCTGCACCAGTCTGCATTCCCACCAGCAGTGTACTAGGGTTCCCCTTTCTCCACACCCTCGCCAGCACATGTTGTTTGTTGATTTGTTGATGGGAGCCATTCTGACAGGTGTGAAGTGATACCTCATTGTGGTTTTAATTTGCATCTCTCTGATGATTAGCGACGTCGAGCATTTTCTCATGTGTCTCTTGGCCATCCGTATGTCCTCTTTGGAGAAGTGTCTATTCAAGTCCTTTGCCCATTTCTTAATTGGGTTGTTTGTCTTCCTCTTGCTGAGTACTATGAGTTCTTTGTACACTTTGGAAATTAGCCCCTTATCAGATACATCCTTGGCAAATATGTTTTCCCAGACCGTGGGGTTCCTTTGTATTTTGAGGCTGTTTTCTTTTGCTGTGCAGAAGCTTTTTAGTTTGATGTAGTCCCATATGTTTATTTTTTCCTTTCTTTCTCTTGCCCCAGGAGATGTATCAGTGAAAAGTCTACTATGTGGGATGTCTGTGACTTTACTGCCTGTGTTTTCTTTCAGTATTTTTATGGTTTCATGACTTACATTGAAGTCTTTTATCCATTTTGAGTTTATTTTTGTGTATGGTGAAAGTTGGTGGTCTAGTTTCATTCTTTTGCATGTATCTGTCCAATTTTCCCAGCACCACTTATTGAAGAGACTGTCCTTACTCCATTGGATACTCTTGCCTCCTTTGTCAAATATTAACTGACCATAATGGCGTGGGTCTATTTCTGGGGTCTCTGTTCTGTTCCATTGATCTATATGCCTGTTGTTGTACCAATACCAGGCTGTTTTTATTACAGTGGCTTTGTAATACAGTTTGAAGTCTGGTAATGTGATCCCTCCCACTCTGTTCTTTTTTCTCAAAATGGCTAGAGCAATTAAGGGGTCATTTTTGGTTCCATATAAATTTTCGAAATGTTTGTTCTAGGTCTGTGAAATATGCTGTTGGTATTTTCACAGGAATTGCATTAAATTTATAAATTGCTTTGGGTAGTATAGACATTTTAATGATATTAATTCTTCCAATCCATGAGCATGGTATCTTCTTCCACTTGTTTAAATATTCATCTATTTCTTTTTTCAGTGCCACGTAGTTTTCTGAGTACTGGTCTTTTACATCCTTGGTTAAGTTTATTCCTAGAGATCTTATTTTTTTAGTTGCAATGGTAAATGGTATTGCTTTTTTAGTTTCTCTCTGAAAGTTCATTGTTGGTGTATAAGAATGCCATTGATTTCCGGATGTTGATTTTGTATCCAGCTACCTTGCAGACCTAAGTATTTTGAATAGTGCTTAGCACTTTGGAACATAGGGCAGAACATACTCCCTTAAATCATAAGTAGGCAAAGGAAGATAATGGGCCCGGAGGATCAGAGAGACAAGTGCTAGCATCTCATTGTGATGAACTGCCTCTTGGTGCCCTTTGTGCTAGGCCAGGACCTACTTGTCTGATATCCCCATGTCACATTACTCATTTCAGTTCCTTCTTTTTGCATGAGGCTGAATGTGGTTGTCGTGTCCTAGATGTACCAGGGGTGGGCAAACCACCCAACAGCATCTTGGCCATCTTTGCAGGCTTCATCTTGAAGGGCATCATTTCCTCTCAAACCAGTGTGGAGGATATTTGTTTAGCCTCCAAATTAAATTATTCCACCTGGAAGCAGGCTTTCTTTCTTTCTTTTTTTCAGTGGGTGGGATAGAGGAAGTCCCTTTTTTTAATAAATACTGTGCAAATTTAGTTTATGGAGATTGGTGTGGGCCCCTAAAAGATGGAATGAGTTACTTCACTCTCATCTCACTTGCTAGTAGCAGGGCAAGGTCAGCCTTTATAAAACATTGCTTCTACACCTAGACTGTTAGAGTCACTCATGCTTCTTGCCTCCCTTTTTAAAAGAACTAATAGTGGAATATTAAAGTTTAGCAGTAAAGGTTTTAAAACTTAGCATGTAAAAATTAGAATGTGTGGATCAAGATGTGCCTGTTATCCATGCCACACCTCAGAGGTCACCTCACCAGGGTCAGCTCTGTTGTGAGAGGCTCTTGGTTTAAGTTATTAACATCCACCTTGTTCAGTGCTGTTTATCTTGATGTTACCTCTTTCTAATTAAATTCATTGCTTTAATGGGAATGAGATTAATTGGCCTGCTAAATTTAACCCTTCATATACAAATATATTTGCTGATAGGAAAAGGTAGTGCTCTTGGTGTATTTTTAGGTGAACCAAAGTAGGTTATGCAAGAGTTTGGTCCTAGAAAAATTGTGTATATGTATGTGTGTGTGAATACATATGTACACACACACACACACACACACACACACACACACACATATATGCAGAAAAATTTGCATATACATCTATATGTATATGCATGTGTAGATATATACATATATGCAGAAATTCTGCATATAAGACACATATCTGTGTATATATATATGTATGTCTTTGTATACACAAGCATATGCATACAATGTCTGGAAAAATATAATCCAAAATACTAGTAGTTCTTATCTCTAGGTGGACATTTCTGGATAAATGAGTTTTTATTGTCTTCTACTTACTTATGTATTTTTTGCTTCAGTAAACACATGTTACTTGTGCCATTCAGAAAGTTTAAAATTGAACATATTATTGAAATTACTTTTCTTTTAATAATTCATTATTTCTTCACATTTGCATTTATAGCCCAAGCTTAGCATGGCCAAATGCAGAAGAAATGTGGAAAACTTTTTGGAAGCCTGCCGAAAATTAGGAGTACCAGAGGTAACATCAAACTTATCCAAATAACCATATTTTAGTAAAGATTTTATTTATGTGTTTGAACCCACTGAATAGATTTACAACTTTGTACATCCCTTTTAATCTATTTTCCTAAGGAATATTAAATAAGTCATAAAATTTTAGTTTAAATTGCTCTGTTGCAATGAAATAAAAATGTCTTAAAGCAGTATGGTCAATTCTGAAGAAAAGGGGAATATAATTTCTTTGAGGTTTTGAAATAAGTGCATAATTCCAAACTTGAAAAAAATTTCGTTCGCTTGATTTCCTAATCCAAGAGCAGAAATTGCTGAGGCTTCAGTGAGCCTCGATCTGGTCCTATAGGGTCAGATTTTGGAGCTGATGACTTTCATTTTCCAAGGCTCTTAAGCAGAGCAGAGCTGTAGTTGACAACTAATTTGTTGATTTTCATTTTGGGTATGTGGATCAAAGTAATCATTAAAAATATTAATTATTATTATTAATCATTACCATTAATAATAATAATGTTTGTATGTTGCTTTATAATTTGTTAACTGTTTGCATTTACATTTCCCCCTTTAGTCTGTTGCAGACTCATTTGACAAGTCCCTATAGCCAGCCCAACTCTAGTTTGCTGCTTTTCTTTCTCATAAACTAAGCTCCAGCCTCAGCTAATTTGAGGCTTTTAAAGACTTTGCTAATAGTAGCATAAGATGGTTTCTTAGGGAGACAAAAGCCAATCACTCAGAATTTGGGGGTAAGTTGAGAAGTTTATCATCATTGTGATAAACAGAAATGGACAGAAATTCTACTTCTTGTAATTTCTTCTATCTTTTCTAATGTTCCAGAGATAAAATAATTACAGACTCTATCATGAGATACTGTTTTTGAGTATGTGAAGAAATTACATTTTACTTGGTGATAGGAGTTTATTGAAATTGAGGAAGGCTTGTCTGCCTCCCTCTCTCTTCCTCCTTCCCTCCTTCCCTTTTTCCCTCCCTCCATGTGTACCTCCCTCCCTGTCTCCCTTCCCTCCTTCTTTTCTTTCTCCTTTCTCCTTTCTCCTTTCTCCTTTCCTTCCTTCCTTCCTTCCTTCCTTCCTTCCTTCCTTCCTTCCTTCCTTCCTTCCTTCCTTCCTTCCTTCCTTCCTTCCTTCTCTCTTAGTATTTTTTAGTTTAGTGAGGGGTTAGTGGTGGGTTTCTAATCTTATTTGAGGAAAAATAATTATTAAAGCATCTTTAAGTCAGAGCTGTTACTTAAAAAAAAAGTTACAAATTAGTTTTTAAAAGAGTGTAATCTTTATATATGGACTAAATGTCTTTGCGATCAATTCAGATGTCTTTCAACAAAGTTAATATGTGTGACTGTATAGTATGTGTACATTTTAATATTGCATATACATTCTTGGCTTCAAATATTTGTAAAAATTCCTATACACTTACCTTTTAAAATAATTTCATTCTGTCATGGCCTAATAAGATTTCCCATGTGTGAATCAAAACTATCACATCAAGTCAGATGGTAAATTATTCCTGTCTGTGCTAGAAAGTAATAATGAGTTATGACAGAATCCCCTGTGATATTTTTAAAGTCATCAAAGCTTTTTCGGCTTATGGTAATACAGGATGAAATGGAAATGCACTTTGTCATTTATTGAGTAAAGATTAGTAATTACAATTTCAAGGTGAGCAAGTGGAAATTATAAAAATGCAGAGAAATTTTTATTATAATTTCTGAATTATGTCTCTAGCACTAAGCAACTCATAATTCCTGCAAAGAATTACAAGGAGTAAATGACTTTTTGCCACTATCTCAGACTATTTTTGAATTTTTTTTTAAGATTTGAAGTGATTTTTAAGTTTGCATTGTGTATATATATATATATATGTGTGTTTGTGTATGTGTGTGTGTGTGTGTGTGTGTGTGTGTGTGTGTGTGTGTGTACATGTATATTCACCCTGATGGATAATCCAGTTGCATTTTACTGGTGACTAGAGTTTCATTAAGTTCATTGCTACTAGAAGAAGTCTGTTAGTTAGTTTCAGTTAGAGTTAAACTTCTTTAACAAGATATGTTAAAAAAGGAAGGAATAACCTAGTGGAAAATCAGAAATTACCAATTGGAAGGCAATTGGCAAATCTTCTTGTACACTCAAAAGAGTATGCTTTCATCTCTCACAGAACTGATGAAGAATAAGTTATTGAAAATAAGAAAATATTTTCATTAAGAATATGGTACTGAATTGGGGGAGGGGTGAAATGACACCCTGCCACTTAGATAGTTATATTTCTTTCACTAGTTGAAGATTGATGTTTTGAGTGTATATGAGTCACACTACAATTCATGATTTACACTAAAAATATAGTTATAGCACAAGTCTAGTTGAAGAAATTCTCTACTTGCTATCAGACATTTAAAAAGACTGGTACAGAATTGAGAGCCCAGAAATAAACCCACGTGTATATGGGCATATAATCTTTGACAAAGGAGCCAAAAAACATACAATGGAGAAAAGAAATCCTCTTTTCTGTATGGTGCTGGGAAAATTGGAAAGCCACATGCAAAAGATTAAAACTAGACTACTTCTGTCTCCATTTACAAAAATTAACTTAAAATGGATTAATGACTTAAAAATAAGACCTGTAACAATAAATTACATGGAAAAAAACAGGTACTAAACTTATGGACCTTGGTGTTAGAGAGGATTTTATGAATTTGACCCTAAAGGCAAGGGAGGTAAAGGCAAAAATAAATGAATGGGACTATATCAAACTAAAAAGCTTCCGCACAGCAAAAGAAACTACCAACAAAACAAAAAAGCAACCAACCTAATCAGAGAGGATATTTGCAAACAACAGCTCTGACAAGGGTTCAATTTCCAAAATATATAAAGAACTCATACAACTCAACACTAAATATACAAACAATCCAATTGAAAAATGGGCAGAGGACCTGAACAGACATTTCTCCCAAGAAGACATACAACTGGCCAACAGATACATGAAAACATGCTCAACTTCACTAGCTAATAGGGAAATACAAATCAAAACTGCAATGAGATAACACCTCACACCTTTTAGAATGGCTATTTCAACAAGACAAGCAATAACAAGTGTCAGAGAGGTTGTGGAGAAAAAGGAACCCTCATTTACTGCTGGTGGGAATGTAAACTGGTACAGCCCCTATGGGAAACAGTATGGAGGTTTCTCAAAAAATTAATAGGGTTACCATATGATCCAGCAATCCCTCTCTTGCAAACCCCAAAAACTTGAAAACAGGTATTCACAAAGGTATATGCACCCCTATGTTCATTACAGCATTATTCACAGTGGCCAAGACATGGAAACAACCGAAATGTCCTTCAATAAATGATTCAATAAAGAAGATGTGATACATATATACAATGGAATATTACTCAGCCATAAGAAAAGATGAAATATTGCCATTTGCAACAACAGGGATTGATCTTGAAAATATCATGCTAAGGGAAATAAGTCAGACAGAAAAAGTGAAGAACCATATGATTTCACTCATGTGGGATATAAAACTGAAAGCAACAAATGAACAAACAAGAAAAACAAAAACTCATAGACACAGACAATAGTATGGTGGTTACTAGAGAGAAGGGGGGTGGGGATAGTAAAGAGTAAAGGGATCAAATATATGATGAAGGAAGATTTGACTTTGGGTGGTGAGCACACAATGCAATATACAGATGATGTACACTTGAAACCTATATACTTTTATTAACCAATGTCACCCCAATAAATTTAACTTAAAAATCAGTAAATAAATAAAATAAGACTGTTACCTAAAAACAGAGGACCTGTAACATTACATTTTCTTATTTGCATCAGACTATTATTTGGGTAACAAAATACTCATTGACTTCCCAGCAACAAGCAGGTAATCCCTCCTAATTGGTGAGCTTTCCTTGCTTTCTTCTCTGCCCATGACTTACACTCATAAGTCACAGACTTTGAATTCTGTATTTTTTAAGCTAAATATCTAATTGACAATAATACATCATCCTGTAGAGACTAAAAAGTCACAACTGTGCTCTAAGCCCATTGTAACAGCATCACAGCTTCAAACTACAAGCCAAAGTCAGGGTTGGCAGCTTTCATATGGGTAGAATGTGGTTGCTTAACAGATTTAATTATTACATATAAAGTAATTCAATGGGATGGAAGCAATTTTAAAATTGTTCTAGTTGTGGTTTATTGTATTTTCTTTAGAAATCCCCATGAACGCATTCCCAGATATCTGCCTTGGGGTTGGCACAAGGTTCAGGAGGCATTTTATTGTGTGCTTTAGTAGAGTGGTTCTGGTGTGACCTGTAAACCAGGTGTCTTCAAATTGGCTGCATCCAGAATTGCACAGTGTAAGCAGCCTAGTTACTTATAGGTTACAGTATGTAGAAAGGTAAGGTAACTACGGACCTCTGCTAATTGTGGCATTGGAATAAGGCTGCATCTATAATCCTGAACCTTAGTCCAGGGGCAGGAATCTTAGACAGGATTGGAATAGTGGACACCACAGATTAAAAAAAGGTGATGTCACAGAAAGAAGTTGGTGATTGGGTTCTGGAGAAATTCTGTTGGAGTGATGGCAGGCCTATTTGCCATCAACTGTGAGGGACTCTGGGATGATGAGGAGGTTTATTAATGAGAATGCCAAGGAAAGATCATTGGAAACAGACCAGAAATGTACTCGCTGGCAAGTTTCTTTTTCGGTATAGAAGACATTTCTTCACATAGTCATTTCAACAGGTCACTTCCCATTCTGCTGACCATTCCTTGGGTTTTGATTTTCTGTTTGGGGCCAGTTCCCCAACTAAAGGGACACAAATTGAATGAGTCTGACCAGAAGAAGAGCCAGGGAATGCAGGAGGTTTTGGGTGAATTAGCCATACCTGTGCAGTTAACTAGTTTTGTGCCCTGGGGCAAATGCCTTAAAATTAGGAGCAGTTAACCATTTACTGAGAACTTCTTGTGCATGCATCATTTCAAATGCTCACTGTT